CTACAGTTTGCCTACCAGCCCAGTGTTGGTGTGGAGGATGCGATCATCTACATGCTGCAAAGGGCCTACTCACACCTGGACAGGGCTGGCAAAACTGTAAGGATCATGTTTTTCGACTTCTCCAGTGCCTTCAATACCATCCAGCCCTTACTTCTAAGGAGGAAGCTGGAGGAGATGCAAGTCGATGCCTCCATGACCTCGTGGATCACTGACTACCTGACGGGCAGACCACAGTAGTTGGTGGTACTGGCCAACACAATGCCCCATTCTTCTAGCTTCAGAGAGTGACCCTGAGGTGGTTTTATGCTACTCTGTGTTTCTTATCAGGCTGCATGGCAAGCCCTTCCACAGCATTGACTCCGGCATGCTCAGGCCTTATGGTCCAACAGACTGTGATGACTTCCCTCTCCACAGCCAATTTTTTTCCAGCACATAACTCCCACAACATGGGAGTGAGCACATTTTCCCACATCGTCTGCTTTCTTTCTGACTATCTGAATTTATTGCTGCTATAATTGAGAAGTTTCTTTTGATGCTCGGGATAGATTCATAGGAGATAGCTGGCAAGTAGAACTACAGTAAATTAGCTGTCTACAGCTCTAGTGGAACAACTGACTGCAAATAACGAAACAAGCTAGTGGAAGGTACTCTAACAGATGAGAAGTGTTGAGGGTCATCTTAAAAATACTTTGTTACATTCCTCCAAGACCACATTGAACAATTCTGTTCTTTTTATAACCTTACCCTCGTTAGTGTCTTAAATGATGTGACAAGTACTTTCTGGCAGAAGCCAGATGGCAATTCTCCTGTTAAAAAATAATACGCTTAATTTCCATAGAAAAGCATGCCCCATCTTGCACAGTTAGCCCAATGTTACTGTACAGTGTATAATTGTCACACCCTCTACATCTAGAGGGCACTCCTACTCTGTCCTGTTCCTAGTTTTCTTGTGCTTTTCTTGTCTTTCCAGTTTGTCTTTGTGTGGGGCTAAATATTTCCAGGTCTTGGGACCCGCCTAGCACCAGGTCGTCTCCTCCCCAGCCTGAGGGTACAGGTTACTACCTGACATTGTCTGAACCTCTAAACCAGGCTAACCTCCATGTTGCCCTTTTTGCTGCTACGCATAGGGTCATTATTGCTCTCCTGGCCATTCCAGGGCATGCCTTTCCAACATCCGTGACAATAATGGTTTAAGTTACAGAATCTAAAAAGGGTGTTAATATGAGAGAAACAAAATACACATGTCCTGCTCCATAAGTCTAAGTCACATTTGTAAAAAATTGAGTAATTATTATTTATATTATAAAACTTAAAAAATTCTTAAAATAGTTTTAACAGTTTTTGTGTTTTTGTATTCATCTTAGCAAATTAATTGTTTCACACGTTTTTTATGATTCCAAAGAGCTCTCTAAAGTTTATTTTGGGGTATTCTTCCTAGTTTTACACAGTATTCCTAACTTCCTTCTATGAATTGATTACTCACCAGGAAGACAATTGTCTAGCTGTCATACTGACAAATAAAATCAAATTTTATTTATTACGTATATCAACTGCAGAACTGTGAATGCTTGTGTATAGAAATATTGCTATCACAAAGGCATAATTTTATAAGGTATGGTTATTAAAATTAAACTGCCCTACAAAGTCCTACTAAAAGAGTGCTCAGAAGCAAAATCATATTTGTGTGCACTTCTTACTGTAGAATTTTTAACAATAAAATGCTTTTTTAGATGTAAAGCACACAGGTGAACAAAATCCATGTTTTCTGGCATGGAACAGAGAAATTATATGAAGACATGAATTAGATATTTAATCCCCAGAATCATGGGGATTTTTTCAAGACTAAAAATGTTCGGTGCTTTCAGCCTGTCAGGGCATTCCCTTATGCACTGGAATGTATTTGATTGCTTTTCTCTGGACTATTTCGAGAGCACCAATGTTTTGTATAAGTTTGATGTACTCAATATACTGATAGGTGTGCTATATGATTTTATGTGAAATCATTTTATTAAAAGTCTAAGCTTTTAAATGTATATCCTAGTACTTTGTTTGTCATTTTAATTGCTTCCCCAAGCTAAAAACATTTCTTATATTTTCATGTTCTAAAATTTGTAAATCATTAAACAATATTACAATAAGCATGGCTCTGTTGCATTACATGTAGTGCAGAAAGTAAACAGTAGTGAAAAATATATATGGCACTCAAAAGGTGTCCAGTAAAAGTACAGTATCAAACTGAAACATCAAACATAAAAGGTAATAGCATAGCTTTTTTCTTTCAACTCATGAGGAGATACAGTATGAAGCTATATTTAGTGTGTTATATTAAAACACTACTGTTTTAACATATTGCAAAGTTATCAATTATAGTTTTTTGCAATTAGAAATGGTAATTCTTCATTTTATTGCTAATGCCATATGCAAGTGAATATTGTTGTCATTTAAGACAAGTAGTTCACTTCTATTTTTTGCTATATCAATTATGACAATTGTGTCCACACTTACACAATCCAATATATTAAAAATGTATGCACAATTTGCTGACATCTTTATTCAGGGCAATGTAGAGTTAATGATATGACTGCTCTGTTCAATGTATTCAAAGCTCACATATCTGCAAAGCAATTATATAGTACAAAACTAAGAATAATAAAAATGTAATGCATTACATGATATACTGTAGAATAAAGTCAGTGTGTTCATTTTCAAAATAGAAGGAAAATAAAGCAGAAATGACTGTCCTTGGTATTCTATATTTAATTCAGAAAATGTCATTAAAACTATTTGATAATTTAACTTCTTCCTTGGTTAATCTCATATTTGTATAAAAAAAAGTGTAGAAATGTGATCTGTGTTAAATCTTTTGATTTCTTTGAACACAAAGCTTGGAAAAGTGGAAGAAAGAAAAAAACAACCACAGAAAAATCCTCAAATGGAAAGAGAAAAAAAATGTTTGTTGCTGTGCAATATACCTGTTACAATGTGACGCATGTTACCAGCGCTATCTGTGTAGATAAGCCCCCTGCCAGTCTGATTGATGTGGTACTCTCTGATGATGCCGTTTGGTTTTGCAGGCACACTCCAGCTCAGCTGCAGAGCCCGGGGGCCAAGGGCTGTGACTGTCGGCGGATGGACATTCTCTGGAACTCCCTGGACAGTCACGGCAACTACCTAAAGACAAAAAGAATTACAGGGCAATTTGCTGTAATAGAGGCTTAGATATCCTGCTCTAATAGAATGTCACTAGTGGTTTAAACTGTTGTCTTCAGGAGTGGCAGACTATTAAGAAAGGGCTGCAAGGACCCAGCAAAGGTTTTGCTTAGATGGCAGCGAACCTCAGATACCTTACTGGAGCCTGGGGCTACCATCTCTCCTGCTGATCTTGTCTGTGCTCTTGCTGCATGTCTGTTGACATTAAATCAGCCCTTTCTGTCAGGGGAGGAGGCAGCGGGTTATAGCGTAATATCATTTCTTTAAAAGTGGTGGGCTACCAGACAAAAGTACTAAAACTAAGAAAAAAAATATAGTGAAGTATCTATCGATCTATCAAAGGGTACTGCAACGGAAAATACTGTATGCTGTTCAACAAAGGAATTGTATCACTTATAGCTGCAAAGTTTTTATCTAAAAAATATTGTTGTAGCAGGTGCACTGACACTGTATTGAACAGACAGGGCATAGCGTAGGTAAACTCATTATGCTGATTAACATTTGTTGATCAATGATCTATAGGACTTCTACTGTGAAAATTACAGCCTAGATATGCATGGTCAAAGTTGGAAGTATTACAGGCTATATACAGTATCTATGACACGTACTATGCTCCATGCTGAGATTGCTGTCTTGTGGTATTCCACCCCAGTCCTTTTGTACAGTCCGAACAAGCACATGTCTGATTACTGGAGTCTGAGCCTAGATGCTAAATATCATCCTACCACATCTCAGTAATTTCAATGGGGCTCAAATCTGGTGAACAGAACATTTATAGGATAACTGGCATGTTATGTGAATTAATGTGAATGTGTTTTGTATTGCTGCAATGTTGTCTAGCCTGCAGGAAAGGGAGCAAGGGAAGTCCCAGGTTTTAATGTATACTGTAGTATGATCAATGTAGCACCGTTCAGTCCTTACAAGTGAATTTAGGTAGAGACTTGACACTCCTGTTCATATCATCACAATGGGGTCTCCCCATTGATTTTTCTGTAGTGCAAAGCACTCAACTAGTTAAACATCTTTCTCATTTGCATCACACTCACTGACATCCATCAAGGTTGTCCACACAAAACCTTTATCATAATTGAATAAAGAGGACTTGACTCCATTGTTGTTGAATCGTGTTGCGCCAATATTTTGTTAGCAAAATGACATTTTTCTGGTGATGAGTAGAGCATACATGTTCCTTACTATGTTTTCTTTCCTGTTTTTTTCTATGCTTGACATTCAACAGGGTAAACCAACCAAACCCCCAATAAGCTTTCTCACTAATGAGGTGATTTAGTGCTTATACAACAAAGTAACTTGAATGTATCAATCAAGGTCAGTCATGAATGATTAATTAATCAACATCTCACCAATTACTATCACTAACAATATGATCATTATCTAAAATTTGTATACTCTTTTATTCTAAAAACAAACATGCAGATATAAAGTGCTAATTACATAGAGGTTTGGTATAAAATATATATTCTCTTTAATTTCTTGTAAACTATTTTTCCATTTGTAAAAACAAAGATGATTCCATTGAAATTAATCTTGTATATACAGTATACTGTACGTAACCTAGAGGTTTTGCTCTCCTAAAAAAGGCCTTTCAAGATTATTTCTCAATACTGTGTTTTTCAGTTTTCAAATACAGATTTGTTTTTTTTTAAAGGATAACTTTGGGAAATAAATTAACATATATCATGACTAAATCCTTGAAAGAAAAGAACCAATTTATATGATATACCTTTCTTTACACTTTGGATTCAGACTGAAATGTACACCAACTTAGTAACTGGGTTAAAGCATGATATTCAGTATGAAAGTTATCATGGATAAAAAACAATCCATATTTTCTTTAATCAGTTAATCAAAAGCCAATAAATTGGGTAGGCAGCCCTGTTCTTGGAGTGCCACATTTTAATAATTATACAATAATTATTTTTATTATAATTCCAGCCTTAGACGACTGATTTAGTGGACAGGTTAAATAAGATGTGTTTTCCAAGTCTTAATCAAGTGCTAACTGAAAGGGATTTAGATAATCATTTTAGACAAAAATGCTCCTTTATTTTATTAAGAATGGTAATGGAGACACAAATATAGCTTCACCTCTGAGTGTTTCCTGAAAATAAATGTACAGTTTAAAAATAATAATGGTGGAAAAGTAATTGCTTATTTAAATTATGTATTGACTCTACAAGAAACTATTTTTGGGACAATATTTGGGCTAATGCATGTATCCTTGTATGTATCCAAAAATCTCAATCATCAAATGATCCAGGTAGATTTTCTGTACGTTTCTATCAAAGATGGTCTTATAAAGATATTTTAATACAGAGTCCAGGGACAGCTACACCTTTTTTTACATGTTTTGGAAGTTTCCCTGTTTGTCAGTAATCACAAGCAGGGACATCCCCTGTTCATTTGTAATACCCTTGCTGGACAGTGACTAATGTGGGCCTCACAGAATCAGAAATGTATTCTGGCTGACTTGTCTCATTGCAGCTAAAAGCTGTTGCCACTGTTCTTGGAGCCACTGTATTCCTTCGTTTGGCATCACTGGATCCAGGTCTGTCTTGATATGATTGAAGTAAGATACAAGATGTGAAGACGGGGTTAATTTTAAGTCCTTTCTGCTTGAAGATTAGACTTCTAAGGCTGGAGTTTATGGCAGGATGGGGGTTAACTGATAAGGATCCCAGATGTGAGCTAAGAAACCCCATGGGGACTTAATCCCTGACCATTTGGCCAAAAGGCTGTAAACCGGCCAAACACATGACCTCCCCCCTTTACCATAATAACGAGTGACATCAGAAGCGTCAGGAAAACCCTATATAAACTGAAAGTTTGTACCAGCACTTTGAACAATACTTTGTTTTTTTTTGTTTCTTGCTGGAAACAAGACTTCGGCTTTATTGTTCCTTGCATGCAATAAACACATCTGTTTAACTTAAAAACACACCTCGGGATCCAGAACCTTATTGTTTTCTGTTACAACATTATTTATCTGTGTTTTTTGACTGCTAGGTCAAAGCCTGGTTGCAATGGCATTTCCCATTGTAGCTACAATATTTGATTGTATTTTAGGTCTCCTCAATTAGGAACTTGAGAGGGAGGACCGCAGATGGATTGAATATTTTATTTACGGTCTTTTATTACATTTGGCAAAATAAATATTTGCTCACAAAAAGTACATACAGGTAGGTTACAACACTTTTTGCTGTTCAAATGAAAAATTGTTTTCAAAAACTGAACATACCTTCCTGCTGTCTGTACAGCCTTTAACAGTGCAAGCCTGAAGCTGATATACGTACTCCTGATAAGGACGAATGCCGCTTACATCAGTAAAGGTGCGATCTGTCCCTCGGTATCGCGCATTCCCATCTCGGAGAATGAAATAATGACTGATAAGACCTGTTTAAATTACAAACACCAAAAA